ATAGCTTACAGTTTGACTTCTTCCCTACTTATAAAGCATTTAAGTCAATTATTAAAACACCATAGGATTATTTTAATGGAGCTATATACAAAGCCTATTGGGAGTATAAGTGAAGAACCAAAGAAAGAACTTCAAAATTTTTCCAAGGGAGTTAAGAAAGATATTACAGAAGAGGTACCACTTGATCTGAGACTTGAAGAATAAACAGGCAACTGCCAAGCAGAAGATAACTAGCTATATTTGAGCAGCAGGGGAAGAAACATGGTAGACGTTGTATAGAATGGATCACAGGCTGTAGAAGGAGGACCTGGCTAACACATATGAGTACAGACATAAGTATATGGTCTATTCCAATCTCTAAATGAGTTAATATCGCTGGAATGCATGCTGTGAATGATGGAGGGAAAATGGAGGTGGCTGGACAGGGAGGCAAGGACTAGATCATAAAGTCTTTGTAAAGTATATGGAAAAATAAAAAAACAGAGAGTTCAACAGAAGGCAGAGTCATTGCCAGATTTGGATCAGCAGAGAGCCGCAATCGGATGTTCATGTCAGAGAGATCACTGTGCTGGTATTGAGGAAGAGAGATGAGAGACAAGTAAGTTTAGGTAACGCTGATAAATAGCTCAGAGAAGTAATGGTGAGGACCAGAACCAGGGGAGAGAAAGAAAGATTGGAATAAAGTACAAGGAAGTGAGAAATAATAAGGGGTTATGTATAAGACATAGTAGTAGCTTAGATTAAGGGTGTGTGTGTGTTTGTATTTGTACATGTAGATGTGTTCAGGGGATGAGTGGGCAGGAGTAAGAGAAAGAGGAATGTAAGCTGTTCTCCGACTTTGGCTAAAAGGGAGTTGAGGAACTGCTCCAATAAGTGAGCATAGAGGTGCTCTTACAGCCCCTTGTCTGTTCTTAGCTCGTGACCACAGCCAATTCTGCCTGAAGACATCCATTCAACAGTTATTGGTAATGTATTAGCCCCTCTACCAGGCTACAAACTCTTGGGGGCCAGAGACACGTACTATTCATCCTAGGATACTATCTTCTTCCCAGTAACCTCACAGAGCTTTACATGTTGAAGATGCTTAGAAAATAATTAATAGAATATTAACCACGTAAAAATACTGTTACATAGTTTGAAGTCTCAGAAAACACACACAAACACATGCACATATGAGTAATTTTTAAATGTGCTTGATTTTCAAAATGAAAATGTTAAATCATGATAAAACTTTAAGAATTTCTGCAAAAAAAAAGGGAAAGAAATGAAATTCCAAAAATACATACTTGGAAGCTCCAACTAATCCAGTAAGTGCAAAAAATTCACTATGTATTTAATTGACTATGTGGGCCAGGAAAGTGTTGCCATAGCTTGCTTTAACCATGAATAATATAAATAAATATGCTTTAAAATGATTCCTATTCTTTACCCCTTCCACCTCCAGTGAGGTAAAGAATGTAAAATTACAAAGAAAAAAATTTAGCTAAATTTACTATTTTTGCACACATAGTTATGATATAGAAAATACTCATAAACATGCCAGCACATACACAGCAGCATTCATAATAAAGTTGTGAGAAACCTTCCCATCCCCAGAAGAGAGTTCTACTAGTGCAATATTTCCTAGAAGAAAGCAATGGCTCCTGAAAGTGTGCCCTGATGCCTTCTTTCAAAGACTGTTTAAATGGCACGCATGCGCGTGCGTGCACGTGTGTGTGCACATGTATGTGTGTGATTGCAAGTGCGAGTGAGTATGTATGTGTTCAGCAAGAAAGAAGAAGAGATTTGTGGGAAAAAAAAGTTGCTTCTATAGAGTTGGGTCTACATTAATTCTTCTTTGTTCACTTTATGAAGGTGATTGGTTTTCATTTTCAAAATACATGACTTTTGAGGCATCTGTGTTGGGGGCAGACTTTTTTACAGCTGCAGCAGAGTATGCCTGTCATTAGCCCAGTTGCTCAGTCACTGTCTCCATTTATAGTTGGGTTTTTTAAGAGTTCCAAATAGGAACTCTGTGTTTCTGCTGATCTTGACTCATCAAAGAAAAGAAAAGCTTTATTCTTTCTCTTTCATTCAATTCCATCTATGATGCTGACATTCTTTAAGACAGACTTGGTTGACTAGAAAAATCTGACCATAATCTTTTTTCTAGATTCCAACTGGTTCTTCCATGCTCTCTACTATTGAATGTCAGCATCTTAACTGAGTAATTATTTTAGAATTTCTTCAACATATATATTTTAATAAGTTTCCCAGTGAGGAAACTGTGTCTTTCTATCAGGCGCTATGAAGATTACCTTCGTGAAAAAGGGAAAGGTTACTCCACCAAAACAAGAATATTCAGGTTGCTTAAACTGCGTAAGTAAGTGGCAAGTTTGTTACCTAAAAAGCTGGTATTAAAAAAGGAAGAACAAAAAGATAACCCTATTGAACAGCCTCCTGTCACTTAACAGAGAACTAAAACTAGAATTGTAAAACCATTAAGAAACTACAATTGAGACAAACGATACGCGGAAAAGATAGCTGTAATAGTCAGGTTCCTATAAAAAAATGATGGCACACTGAAACTGGCTTCTCTCAAATAGTTAATTTATAAAGACATTTTGTACATAGTCCCATTTGAGTATAGAGAAGCCATAAGACAGAGCAATAGTCTGGGGCTAGCAGAGTCAGCGTTTTCATCTCCTCCAGGTTCAAGGGAACCGGGGAGAGAGTGTCATGGAGGAGAGATCCTAGAGAAGACCAGTGACTCTCGCTGGCAGCTGGAAACTTTGCAATCTGGTCTTTGGAATTTATGTGGCCCAAGAGTCTTGTCAATGTCAAGAGGGGCACTATTGTCATCTTGTGTTCGATAATAATATGGTTTGCACCCCCCCATCCATTCAATGATAAAGAACATCTGCTAGTCACTGTAACCATAAAAAATGCCCCCACTTATTTCTAAACTTTCCCTGGTCAGTAGGTGGTTTCCTCTCTAGTTGGCAACCACTAGAAGTGAAATATTAACCAAATGTCCCTGGGAATGTTTTTATCTCTGCATCAACCTAGAGCACCAGAAAGCTATTCTCCAAAAGCTAAAAATCTGAATCAATAGACTTTTACATGAGGGGCAAGTTATAGCTGCACCATTTACAGCCCCGCATCCATATTCCAGGCAGGAAGAGGAAAAGAGAGAAGTGGGAAGGATCGATGCTTATGTCAGGAGAGCCCTGGTTTTCCCAAAATGCTTAATGTATATCTCATTGGCAAGAACCATGTCACATGGCAACTCTACCTGCCAAGTAGTCTGGAGAAGTATTTTAATTGGGCACATTGCTGTGATGAAGGGGAGTGGATGGGATGAAGAAGCAGTTAAGCAGCATCTGTCCCACATACATATTATCTCTTATGGCTTGGTATGGGTAAATGACACTACAGTAATAATATAAAGTCTTGCATCCTCTCTTCCTGTACATACTAAAATTTACCTGGAAATTAATAAAAAAACAAAATTAAGTTGTGGTTGATTATTTGTTATACCAACATATTTAATCATGGTATCTCAAAATTAAAACATTGTATTACTACATATTTGCAGATTCCTAACAGACTAATACCTGAGGACAAATCGTTGGATCTCTAAGCCTTCTCTAAGCCTTTTCCAATATCCCATCATAATTATAGCCACCATTGTTCAACAGGGAGATATTTACCTTTGTGTTATTAGGACATTCTTAGGACATTCAGTATTTCTCTGTTGAATGAATGAATGCAACAGACAATAGGAAGATATACAAGGAAGATATAAATAACTGTATTTGACTTATCTTTGCTAAATCACTCTTAGATAAGAATCTCTGATCTAAAATTTAGTATCTCTTTGGTTGTGCCAGACTGTTTGTTTCTCTAAACACCCTTTTTTGCTTTTTTATTCCCTCTGCATAATTCTCCAGCTTTCTTTTTCTACTACCTCCTTTTAGCATTATGTAGCTAAATCTTTGGTTAGTTTGATTTTTAAGATCATAGTGTTCAAGTTATCCATTTTCTTTTGTTGTTAGTGCTTTTGGATATCTATCTATCTGTCTGTCTGTCTATCTATCTATCTTTCATCATTGCCAAGTCCAATGCCATGAAGCTTTTTCCATATATTTTCTTCTAACAGTATTATAGTTTGTGCTGTTATGTTCAGGACTAAAATTTTGGGTTAATTTTGGATATGACGTAAAGTAAGGGTCCAAGTTTATTCTTTTGCATGTAGATATCCAATTTGCCCAGCATCATTTGTTGAAATAACTTTAAGTTGTCTTGGCACCTTCATCAAAAATCAATTTATCATATATTCAAGGGTTTATTTTTGGATTCTATATTCTATTCTATTGGTCTATATGCTTATATTTATGCCATACCACACTATTTTCATTATTATATTTGTGTAATAAGTTTTGAAATGAGGCAATTTGAAATCTCCATTTTTTTTTTTTCAAGATCATTTTGTTTATTCAGAGTCCCTTGAGGTTGCATATGAATTTCAGTATGGGTTTTTTCTGTTTCTGCAAAAGAAGCACCATTGGGATTTTGATAAGGATAGCATTAAATCTGTAGACCACTCTGGGTAGTGTTAACATCTTAACTGTATTAAAGTCTTTCAACTATGAATATAGATGTCTTTCTATTTATTTGTGTCTTTAATTTATTTCATTAACGTTTTGTTCTTTTCACCGTACATGTCTTTCACTTCTTTGGTTAAGTTTATTCTTAAGTATATATTTGTCTTAATGTTTTTGTAAATATAATCGTTTCCTTGATTTCCTTTTCAGATTGTTCCTTGACAGTACACAATAATGCAACTAATTTTTGTGTTAGTCTGTGAACTCTTAGAAGGCAGGAACTATGCTTTTGTGTGGGTGTATTTTGTGGAGTTAATGTAAAAATAATAATTAGCAATTTCTAATATTTGTTCTTGTTATTTTTCATTGGCAATAATCTCTGTCCTTTTTTTCCCCTTCTCTCTCCCACATTAGGGCTCTACTAGTGCAACAGCTTCTCCTCAAGTTTCCACCCCTGTCACAGGACATAAGAGAATGGTCATACCAAACCAACCCCCTCTAACAGCAACCAAAAAGTCTACATTGAAGCCACAGCCTGCACCTCAGGCTGGACCCATCCCTGTGGCTCCAATTGGAACACTCAAACCCCAGCCTCAGCCAGTCCCAGCTTCCTACACTACAGCATCTACCCCTTCAAGGCCTACGTTCAATGTACAAGTGAAGTCAGCCCAGCCCAGCTCTCATTATATGGCAGCCCCTTCACCAGGACAATATTATGGCCCGGGGCCGGGGCCCCAGAGCTATAACACTCAACCAGGCCCTACTTCTGGGCAGTGTCCACCCCTTTCAGCACGGGGCGGCATGGATTATGCATATATTCCACCACCAGGACTTCAGCCTGAGCCTAGTTATGGGTATGGCCCCAACCAAGGACGCTATTATGAAGCCTATTGCCCAGTGGGGCCTGCCTATGGGGGGAAACCCGACTCCGATCCTGCCTATGGTCAGCAAGGTCTCCCCAATACCTGGAAGCGAGAACAGGGGTACACTCCCTCTGGAACAGGGAACCAGAATCCTGCTGGGATGTATCCAGTAGCTGGTCCCAAGAAGACCTATATCACAGATCCTGTTCCAGCCCCCTGTGCACCTCCACTGCAACCGAAGGTAGGAAACTCATTAACAAAGTAATGGGAATAAAGGGCTGTCTATCTTAGCCTGCCCTCCTCAGAAAGCAAACCCTAAGGCAAAAATGTATGTGCTATTTTTATTTCATTAGAAAGTATAATCCCAGGGAAGCATGAGTGAAATAGGACAAGAGAGAGTTCTTGTTGGAGATATGGAGTTATATTACCAGTGTGGCTGCTGCTTAGTACCAAGCGCATCTAATCGTTCAATCTTGAAAGATCATCTTGCAAAAGACCATGTGAATGTGGAGCTTAGGACAATCTGTTTGTGTGAGAAAGAAAGGGAAAATAATTTATGTTCCAGCTCTTGTCTCATTGGTGCAAGCTTCTCTCTGTGGGTTAGACACTTCCTTACACTTAGATGTCGTGTCTACTTGGGCACCAAATAGATCTGCAGTATCTCAGGCCTGCAGAGATAGGACATTTGCAGATCTAGAGGTGACAGGTTTGCGGGGCAAACATGAGGAGAGCTGCTGTCATATTGAGCTCATGTGATGGTGATCAAAACTCAAAGTTGGTACCATAGTGGGTACTAGGACATAACAAGTGGGCAATGGCTCAGGAGACAGGTGAGGCCAAGGGGATCTGAGGTAATACAGACACCTTGTCTAGTTTCCTTTGGAAAGGGGCTGCAGTATAATGGCAGTCATTTATTGCCCCTTGTCTATCCACATTACTGATCTTCCAGGAAGAATCTTACTCTCAAACCTTTATCCCTATTAGGCAATTAAAAAAAATTCTTTATTACAGTTATCTTTTTCATTGTTTGAGTTAATTACAAGCACATATGTCTTTTAAAATACCATGTTCAATTACTTCCTTTGAATAGGTAAGATATACTGCACATACCTACTCACCTACAACTTTGATTTTCCATGAGTACTAGAACTAGCACAATGATGATGTTTCCTCTCACTATGACGAGGAGAATTACTTGGAAGGGGTGAGACGGAGAAACAAATCTAGTTTCCAGAAATTGGGTTGGAACAAAGCCCTCCCTTCTTTTTAGTTAGAACTATTAGAAATCAGAAATTAGAGAGCTAGTGATTAGAAACTGAATGGTGATTTGGGGGGATGGACTGGGTAGAGGTTTGAGAATATATATGTATGTATGTATGTATGTATATATATGTATGTATGTATTCCTTTACACATTTAAGAGTGTCAATTTCGATACATATCTATTCACATTTTCAACATTATAACAAAAATCCATCAGGTCCTTGCTCTCCAGGTAGAGTGTCTACTAAACCTCTGTTCTCCCATGAAAGTATCTGCTCTTTTAATCGTGCTCCAAAATGAATTTTAGGTTCCTCAGAGGAAAACAGCCTTTCCCAGCAAGTGGGCAAATTTACGAATACCCATTACATGAAAGAAGGCCAGCCATGATCGTTTTCCAACATAAAGTTTCCAAGTTAAAATGTTAAGTATTTTCGAAACATTGCTCTTGGAAAGCCTTCCGTACTAAAATCTCTTTATGAAGAAAAAAAAATGTTAGTAAGTTTGTATTTTTTAAAAAACAAAGTTTGTCCAAAATAGCCAGTCTGGATAGCCTTGAGCTTCATTAACATTGCAGTATATTTGCATTAGTCCTTCTTGGCTCCCAGAACAACTAGTCAAGAAAAAAATTGGATTATTCAACGTTACTTCATTTTGGTGCAACTGCAACAAATTCCACTATGGACGATTAAACATTTAAGTTGGGATGATTGCCATTAACATATAAGCTCAAATAGGCATGTGGTTTTGCCCCGTCCAAAGCAGCCTGACTGATAGGATGGCCGAGTGATGGTCCTCAAGGGAAGAGATGGGCTCTGAGTTGTCTAAGGCTCCTATCACCCCACCTGGGAAAACAGACATGAGACAGAGCAAAAGTATGTCTAGGTGGAAGGAATAATCTGGTGAGAAGTACTGAGCCAGTCTTTGAGTTTCCTGTTTTCCCATCATGTCACTAGGCACTCCAGACAGTCCCTCTTCATTCAACATTTGGAACCAATCCAGTGGTGTAGGAAAAGAATCAGCACCCAGTGTAAGACCTGGATCTAAGGTGTTGGGTCTAGCCACACCACTGGCATTTAGTCTGTCTTCACCAGCCTACTCAGGATGATGGAATAAACTTTTCTTAACCACTCACCAGAAAGCATGAAATTTTATTTTTCTTCTTATTGTTAGGTAATTATTTAGGATAGTCTATTACATTATTACGGATTCTGGATATCAGTGAATTTCATGTCATTTAACATTTTTTTAAATATTTGTTTTTCAACAGTGTCATGTGTTTTAACATCATATTGTACATTTAAAAAATGAATATCAAATCATGTACTTTTCACTGCAGTTATTAAGGAGAGTAGTTAGAGGTTGATATTTAGCCATCTGTCTATGTTTTGGGAAAGGGGAAAGAGGCTGATGAAGCTACAGATATAGTCTGTGTGTGTTGTGGGGACATTGGTGGATGTAGGGATAGGCTCTTTCACAGTTAGTCTTTGAGCAGAACACTGCTGTATTCAACTGCACCTGTGCACAGAGGACCTTATTGTCCCAATATTGACTCTGCTTGGCTTAGTGATGTGACTACTGGCTTGAGAAATGAGCTCCTAAGTCTAATCCCAGTTCCTCCCGTGACATTCCTCTTTCAGTTTGAGGAAATCCTCTAGACCTCTTTATGTCACGCTTCTAGCCTCAGTAAAGTGGAACGTCATCTTCACTAATTAATTAATGGTTGCAAAGGGCTTGGAAATTTCCAAGGGCTGAATAATTGCCAAGTGAGGACTATTCAGTTTTTCACTGGCTTTCTTTTATTTCCAATTTTTAGTCACTGATGGAAAACTTACCTTCATGCTTTAAAACAATTATCTTTTGTTACATTGAAACATCCTGAAGAATTTGGCATTTAATCCATTAAGGAAATTTTTTTTTTATATAAGTGAAAGAAATAAATCTTCCTTGTATTTGAGAGGAGTTGCTTTAATTTTCCTACATCATAGTGCAATTTAAAAGAAGAGGGAGAGGAAGGGAAGGAGAAAGTAGAAGGAAAAAAGAAAAGAAGAAAAGAATGAAGAAGGGAATGAAGAAAGGAAGGAGACAAAATCAGAACCTGCAAGGCCTGGGGGGCTCGCGATTATATCTATGTTCCCATACTGTGTTGAGCAGTGAATTTGCATGCCGCAGTAGACCATAATGTGTTTCCTGTACCATCTGAGCCGAGTTCCTTGAAAAAAATATTGTTATAAGCACGTCTTTATATGGGACAAATGTTCCTCTCTCACTGGAAATCCTCTTAAAGACAGTGGAATCTTTTTTCTTTGCTGTTTTATAAAAGCTAATATCTGTAGTTCACAGAACTCTTTTCCTATGCGTTATCGTCACATCCCTGTGAGGATGTGTCTTTTCTCTGATATTTGAGTAAGGTGAGTTAGCTCGAAAGTGCCAGAGCCAGGACCTGGAAGCCAGTCATAACTCTCAGGTCCACAGTGGCAGCGCAACTCTAACACCCACTTCCTTGCCGTAAACCTAATCTATGTCAGCTGCAGGTCTCTTAAAGACCGATTTACCCAATACTGCATAAAAGCGTGGATGATATGCATCCCAGGATAGCTGTAGAGGCCCACCTAGTGTGGGGGTTAGGTTAAGTAATAAAATTATCAAATATTAAGATTTCCTTGCAAAATTCTTCAGGAAGTTGAAATCTTGGAGGCTAATAAACTACCTTTCAATAAACCTAACACAACGTTTTTGGTAGCTCTTTCAGCATTAGAACAGATCATGGCTCTTCATTTAGTTTTTGAATCTGGGGATATTTAATGGGTCAGAGAAGAGAGTTAAGGTAATGCAATGCTGAGGTCAGTGTTGACGGGTCCCCAAGACCTGTAATTTGTTAAGATTAAGAAAATAGTTGAGAATGTTGATATCGCAGCGTTCCAAACATTCAATCATCAAAATTTTTAAATTGTTTTTCATTGTGGAAAAGAGAAGGATGTATATATTGGGTATACAGCAAGGAATTGGTGGCATTTTGGAGAACTAGTTTTTATGGTAATCCCTGTGCTAAACATCTCTCAATTCTAGGATTAGAGAAAAAAAATAGAAGAGATGTTAGGGTGAGAAGAGGGATGGATGTGGATATATGTCTCAGGGTAGTTGCTGATACCTGGGTGTGTGTGTGTGAAGATGAGAATGCTTGAGGAGGCCAGTGACAATAACATTAGGAATTCCCTTTGTACAGGACTTTTCATTTTCTGAAGTGCTTTATGGACCCCACAAAATCCATGAATGTTAGGCACAGAGGTTTTTGTGTCTCTCTTACTGATGAGGGTTCAAAAGCTCAGTAATGAGAGTCAGCAAAGATATGTCAAATTCATGGGAGAGCCACAACTCCAAGCTGGGTCTTCTGAAGATTGTCCTCATGCTTTTCCATGAAAAAACATAGATCTTGGCATGTCTTGGTGTTTGAATGGTGCGAGAGCCATGTCAGCATCACCAACACGCGGTTCTGCTGTGGCCCACATCGCAGGCAGACATGTAAGTAGTAGTCTCAGAAGGCCATGGAGCAGTGTCATGAGATCAACAGCTGGAGGGGAAGCACTGGTTAAATCCCTGCCAGGCACCCTGGTTTGGAGCCTTGAGGCTATACTTCCTCTTCCTCATCAGCCATGTAGAATTTGTCCCAAGGTTCTTTCTCACTTCACAGTATCTCAAGTCTAAATCCCCCTTGCTGCTGTCCTAGTTCAATTCTCATTTCTCGCCTGAACCATTGAAATGGCCTCTTAATGGGTATCTTCACTTCTGGTCTCTCCACGCTCATTCATGTTAAACATGCTACCAGATTAATCTTTCTACCACACAACTCTGCACTTGCCATTTAATTGCCTTTTTCAAAAACCTTCAGAAGTTTCCAGCTACTTATGGAAAGAATTAAAACCCCAGCATGGATTTTCAGTTTTATCTTCCCCCTTTATGCATCGGGCTTCCAGCTAAAAA